GAGCCCCATCCAACCTGATCTCGAATGTTTTCAGGAATGGGGCATCTACTACCGCTCTGGGCAACCTGTTCCAGTGTTTCACCACCCTCATGGTAAAAAACTCTGCCTTTCCTCACAGGAGAAGTGTTCCAGCCCTCTGATCATTTTTGTGGCCCTCCTCTGGACCCACTCCAACAGGTCCACGTCTTTCCTGTGCTGAGAGCTCCAGAGCCGGATGCAGGACTCCAGGTGGGGTCTCATTGGAGTGGAGTAGAGGGCAAGAATCCCCTCTCTCGACCCGCTGGCCACGCTGCTTTTTATACAGCACAGGATACGCTTGTCTTTCTGGGCTGCAAGCACACGTTGCCAGCTCACGTTGTTTTTCATCCACTGGTAACCCCAAGTCCTTGCTTGCATGGCTGCTCTCAATCCCTTCATCCCCCAGCCTATATTGATACCGGGTGTTGCCTTAACCCAGGTGCAGGACCTCGCACTTGGCCTTGTTAAACCTCATGAGGTTCACACAGGCCCACTTCTCAGGCTTGTCCAGGTCCCTCTGGATGGCATCCCATCCCTCAGGCGTGTCAACTGCACTACTCAGCTTGGTGTCATCTGCAGACTTGCTGAGGGTGCACTCAATCTCGCTGTCTATGTCATTGATGAAGATCTTAAACAGTACTGATCCCAATATAGTCCCCTGCAGGACAGCACTCGTCACTGATCTCCATTTGGACATTGAGCCCTTGAACACTACTCTCTAGATGTGGCACTTTGGCTCTTTCTAAAAGCTTGTTTCTGTAATTCTGTAATCTTAAAATGAGCCAGAAGAATCTGGACAGCCTAACTCTTGCTTTACTGTCAGAACAGGCCTTTATAAGAAATTATTCTTCTAGACAGACTTTATGGAAATGGCAAACAGGCATGTGAACCGTGAGAGGGGAGTCTGCTGCAGATTTAAATACTAAATGTAGCACACATAAATTGAAGCATCTTTACCTAGAATTGCCCACCCACTCTAGATGGTGACAGTATAAGCATCCGCTGATACTGGAGATGAGTGTCTAAGCACCTTTTACAGTTTAAGGTGGTCTGGTCAACAAAGGCTGTGGAGCATTGCAGCAAGTTGGCCATTTGACCAATGCAGGTGGTCACAGCTCTCCCACTCCAAGTGGAAGCAATGAGCTCTTGAGGAATGGCCTGGGAAAGCAAGCAAAAGGACTCTTTCAGTTAAGGATAATTCCTATGCAAGAAAGTGAAATGGAAAGGAAGAAGGCCAGGATCACAACTGTATTTTACAATTAGTAATCTGAGAAGACTGCTAACCAAACAGGAGTGATTTCCCTGAACAATATTCCAGTCGGTGACCAGTAAGGAAAAAGAAAAGGGTGAAGAAAGATGAAGGTACCAGGGGAAGGCCAAGGTGGTATGAAGATGCACTCTGGTTCATTTATAAGAAGTAATATCTAACATGGCTGTCACTACTCAGGGAGCAAAGAGGTCTTTTCCCAAAGATATGCAGTCTCTGTGCAACATGTCAGCATTCTAGGGAATGCACTCCCAAGCTGACAGGAATTGAAGAAGCTGAAATTCTCTACAGGTTTCTGGTACATGGTATGTAAAGTGGGTTACCCACGTACTGACATTTCTGCAAATGTTCCGGCTTCCCAGAAAAGTTAAAATCCACCTGTCAATAAAAATAAATAGGCATAGGCACAGGCACAGATACAGCCATGCAAGCAGACTTCCATGTGTGCATCACCAACAAAAGAAGATAGTACTCTGATACACACACCCATAATAAATAAAGACAAATGACAGGAGAGCCTGGATTGGCCTGAGCGGGAGATAACTTCTATAATGTCCTGTTGGCACAGAAACACTTGCACAGAAGGGCAATGATTACATTGGTTGTGCAGCTGCCAGAAACTTTCCATCTCAGGGAAGTATAAAATTACCTTCCTGTAAATGAAATGGGGAGAGTTATGAAAGGTCATCCCTTACATGGATAACAGAATAAATGCTCACATTAGCCTCTTTGATATCGTTGTTGTGTAACTGAGCTCTGCTGAATCAAAGTGTGTGCTCAGATCAGTATTCTTTGATACATACATATTCAAAATAAGTTAGTGTTTCAAAAAACTAAAAAACTACAAAGCCCAAACACTGTCTGATCAAAGCAAAACTTAAGAAAGAGGCACTGTAGTTTTACTCTGCAGTTTTTCTCTGTAAATACTATGCATTTACAGTTCCTGAGGATCTTCAAGACCTGACCAACCATTTTACGAGGAAGCTTATCGACATGTGTGTAACAAAACAGCAGCCTGCAAAGATAACATAGTCCTTATTGATAAGACACTGATTAAAGAAGCAAACTTTTTACAGTTCTCATGGAAGTAAGTTGTGAAATAATTTATACACATTGAGGAAAGTGAAATTTTATGGACCTTTTTTAAGAAAGTACAAGTACAGAAGTCGATTAGGTTCTTCAGTAGCTTTACTTACATCATACTCAGATGACTCCAGGGTTTAAAAAGTATAATTTAGAGCAGTACTCAAGGAAAACCTCATGATTCTGAACTCACTGAGGAGATAGTAATTTTTCGTAATATCAGCTTGAAAAGAAATATTCCCGGAGCTAAAGTAATAAAATCTGGCAGCTCACCTTGCCTTTCCAGTATCCTATACCGATAAGCTGAAATTCTGTCCATCACTATAATGTACAATAGAAACAGCATATCACCCAGGTAGTTAAAATACTTACGCAACAAAAAACAAAAAAGAAAAAAAAACAAAAACAAAAAAGAAAACTCAAAGAAACATAGAAATTCCTGAAGAGCCTCATACTGAGAGGGCCTCAGAATATGCCTAACACATATTGACAGCTCGGAGACATCATGTAAAGCAGCAACAGCTTTTTGCACAACACATCCGCCTCTGTGATGAGGTTGTCCCCTCCTACCTAATGCCTGAGGTTACCATAGTCACAGAAAAAACGAGTCTCATCATCACGCAGAGAAGCAGTAGCCACTCGTCCTGCCAGCACCCAGTGGATGGCAATTTCACAGAGTCACTGTGTGCTCCCAAAGCGAGGAGGAGCAGACCTTCAACACGAATAAACATGTTAGTTCCAGGTCCTGGTGCCAGAATAGCGTCTGGGTTATCTTTGTAATCATACATTCTAAAGAGATAAGCTGCCCTTGAGGAAACCAGGAATTCACCTCCCATGTGGTGAATTCACCTCATCACAGGGCCACCCCCCATGGCTCCTTTGTGGGCATTTTCCTGAAACGCGATTCTTTCTTGCACATTGGCACGGAGGACACCGAGGGCACACATGTCCCAGCTGACAGCCCACAGCTTGACAATTAGACTGCTTGTTTTGCGTACAGGGGTTTTAAACACTGCATTTCCCACATCATCTGCAGGCCTGTAACCTCAGGACCACAGACTGTCACTGCCTAGCACAGGTAGCAAAGTCCTACTGCTTCAGCCAAGCACGCATGCAAACAGATGCAGTAGCTAGGCAGCCCACAGAGCACTCCTCCCTCATCCAGATGGAGAGAAAGAATAGGATAGGACAGGACAGGACAGGACAGGACAGGACAGGACAGGACAGGACAGGACAGGATAGGATAGGATAGGATAGGATAGGATAGGATATAGAATAGAATAGAATAGAATAGGATAGGATAGGATAGGATAGGATAGGATAGGATAGGATAGGAGACAACTTCCCTGTCATTGTCCGGTACTATGGTGGGCCCTGTAAAGAACAGGAGAACAGGTTAGTCAAATTTCCTGCAGAAATGGCACAGGCATACCTGATGCTGCATTAGGGTGGAAGGAATGGGATAAAAGACTTGATGTCACTTTTTTTATTCCAGGGTCCAGTTCATCTCACACAATTGGCAAAGCACTTTCCATGGGCAGCCTGGATACAAAAATGCCCCTCTGTCCTGGAGTTCCAAAAAGAAGGAAAGAAATAAGCCATCTCTGCTCTGATTGAGAATTTGAAATTACAAACATCCATCCTTGGTATAAGCACAAAGAGCTGCATTTTGAAATTAAAAAACACAGTGCTTTCTGGTACTCAGCTGCGACACACCTCACCACAGAGCAGGAGTCTACCACTGAGCTCAAAGGCTTTATGTTAATAGATAAACAAGAGAAATTCAGTCCTGAGCTTCTGGAGACACAATCCAGGCCATACTGGTGTTCGCAGGAGATTTCACAAATTTTCAAGACTATCCCTACAGTTGTAAGATTCAAATCAAAACTTTTTTACAGCGAGGGTGCTCAGTTACTGGAAGAGGTTGCCCACACGGGTTGTGGAGTATCCACCTCTGAAGATGTTCAAAACTGGACTGGACAGAGTCCTGAGCAGCCTGCTCTAGTTCACTCTTCAGTAGGGCAGATTGGACTAGATCTCCAGACATCTCTCCAACCTGAAGTATTCTATGATTCTGTGAAATTTATTTTACTTTACAACAAATTACAACATTCCAATTTCCCCAATTCTTTATGAAAGCAGACAGCTGAGAAATAAAAGGTAGTTAAAGAATAATATCAACATAACATAAAACAAAGCAAAGCAAAGAAAAAATGTAGTTTGTCATTTGTAAGCTAAATGTTCCAAACAATGGAACAAATAAGCTACAATTTATGACAATGTTTTCATGAAAGCAGGAAAACTCCTATGAAATGCTATCCCATGGCATTCTATTTCAAATAACATGATTGTGAAAGATTTTTGTAGTTGTATATGGAAATTACTTTAGGTTACAGGGATTTCTTGAAAGGACAGAAATCACAGAGATGTCTTCTGCCTATGAAACACAGAGAAGATAGGGGTTTTTATTAATGCAAGCTTGGAAACAAATACTCATGGAGCTGAGAAAAAAAAGAGCGCTCCGTTCGTTGACCTCTCGTCCACCTTATTTCCTAAGAATTTACAAGTTACTTTTATTTTCAGCCTATACTCACCACCCAGACAACTAAGCACGAGTCAGCAGTGTATGAACATGCGTCAAGAACACAACCTTGTGGTTGTGACAGCCGACCATACAGTGAGCTAATCTAGTAAGGGTGTAGCCAGCACTTCCAGGGAAGTGATTATCTTCCTCCATTCAGCACATGAGACCTCATCAGCAATACTGTGCCCAAGCCTGGGCTCCTCGGTACAAGACAGATAACAGCTTACTGGAGGGAGACCAGTGCAAGGGCCACCGTGTGCCCCTGTCCGCCCTACGGCCCCCTCGCCACGCGCTACGCTCAGCCCCTCCGGCGAGGCAGCGGGCGGCACAGGAGCGGGGGGCCAGGCCTGCGTGGTGGTGCCTTCACCTCCAGCAGCCCCTTTCAGGTTCCACCCCTCAGCTCCGGCTCAAGCAGCCCCTTGGCTCCAGCCCCTGCCCGGGCGTGCTCTTCTCTCTGTCCTCCTTCCTGTCCTCCCGCGTTTCTCCCTTTGCTCAGTGCCTACCACCCTTACTTTCAGATGTTCTCACAGAGGTGCCACAGACTCCCCTGAGGACGGGCTAAGCTGTCTGGAGCACGGAGGCAGCTCCTGGTCTCTCCTCACAGAGGCCACCCCTGCAGCCCCGCTACCAAAACCTTGCCAGTTCTGAGGGGGAAGAAATCATGACGAAGGCAGTCAAACACGGGAGCGGGTTGCCCAGAGGCTCTGGAGTCCCCATCCTTGGAGGTACCCCAGACTCGACTGGGCAAAGCCCTGAGCAGCCTGGCCGAACGCCTGCGCCAGCCCTTCTCCGAGTGGGGCCTGGATCAGAGGAGTGCCGGAGGGCCCTTCCAGCCCAAATTATCCTGTGATTCCACAAAACTGTTTGAATCGCTGCTAGACTCAGTACATGTTTGGAAGACAGAGGAAAACAGAGACAGACCAGGTCATGCTTGTCTCTCCATTACTGAGGACAGCCCAGCCTCCAAAATAAATAATTCCATCGAGCTTGTGAGCCAAAAAGACAGGCAAGCAGAGCTACAGCAGGGGATGGATCCTCTTCTAAGTAGAGGGAAATGGAGGCTGAGGAGCCAAACTGAAAAAGACCTTTCAAACACAAAAGGTTGCGAAGCGGGGACCCTCACCAGCTGGCCATACGTTGTTTCTTAATTTCAAAGCACTATGCAGAAAGTCCCACATGCCAGAAACTGCGTTTGCTCTCCCTACCCTGCTGCTTCAGCCAGGAGCTGGTTCAGCCCCGGAGCTGTTGTGACATTCGGGCCATGACCAAAGCCTTATCTGCATCTGTGAGCCTTCCTGGGCTGTGTCTGAGGGAGACCTGGGCTGAACGCTCCTTTTTTCTCCTTACTTCTTGCAGGGTACCAATGTCCCAGCGCGGGTTGGTGGGCCCTGCTGTGGCTCAAGCCCACCCTCAACACAAGGTGCCAGAACATTCTCTCCAAAGGTTCTGGCACCTTGGTTTGAGGGTGGGCTTGTGCCCAAGCCTCCTGCCCTCCTGGGAAACGTTCTGACCGTGGGTGCTGTGCAGTGGGGAGGTGCAGCCGTTGAGGATACTAGAAATGAATCGATTGTATTTCTGGGTCCCCAGAGATCTTGTCGAGAGGCAGGAAGAGCACCAGCTGTCCCTCTCAGCTCTCTTCTTGGCATGTCAGGTGTACGTCTGCTTTGCTTGTCACCATTTCATTAGCATTGGGAAACAGAAAGAAATGTGGCATTGTGAATATGTGGCAATATCCCCAAACTGTAATCCACTGGAACGTTACTCTGAACATTCCCTGGGCATTTCACAGCAAGGACACTGGCAGTGCCTTGCATCCACACGATAATATCGTGCTGCATTTTGCTGTAGTCCTCATCAGGTGCTCTCAACTTGTTTTTGTCAGCTATGCAAATTCACACAACAATCAGATTTTATTATCTTTCCTGAGAAAAGTTTACAGCCGATATATATCATACGTCAGTTTAAACATCAAAGTTCAAAGACAATGTTCTAACCGGGAAGTTTGAATTATTTTACGTCTTGTATTTTCCTCTTAAAATACCTGGATCAAAGTCCTGTGGTTTTGTGCACACACACTGAGAACCATCACGACTTACCATCCACCTCCAAACCCCTTCTAAGCCAGTGGGAAACGCAAACTATGTGAAGTCTCCTTGAAGATCCATGCCCCTGTTAATCACAGCACACACCCAACAACCACCAACTGTATCATGAAAGCAAGAGAACAACAGCTGCTTTCTTTGCGAATCCTGGTAGCAAAAGGCGGCAGTATCACCTGTGTTTTTATCCACTAGCCTAGCAAAAACATTTATCGACTGAAAGGAGATCTGTGCTCAGTTTGCTCTTCATCTTGAGTAGTCTTAGCTCCAGTAAACACAACGTAACAATCAGGAGAGAGGTTGTGCCTTCATCCAAACATACAGGAAAGCCTGGCTTGCTGGGGGTCCTGCAGTCCAGTTCCTGCCCCTGCCCCAAGGAATATTTCAGATTTTATCCTACTAGAAGTTAATATAAAATGCATGAATAGGCCAAGGAACAAGGACAAGAATCCAGATTCTTGGGGAGAAGACTGCACATACCTCCTGCTTAAAGACCACCCTGCATAGAGAGTTAGTGGAGCCATCTTCCCACGCCGTAAGTCAGACCCCCAAGCCTCAGAAAGAGTTAACTTAAAGGTGCCTGCCTGTGCCCAGCCTCCTGGGTACCTTGGCTGGGTACCTCCTGCCCCCAGGCCATTTCCTACCTCCTGATCAATATCAGAGCTTGTCTCCAGTTCCTGAGGAGCCAGAAAGAAACTGGCTGGGACAAGTGGTCCACATTTATTTTCTGCCTTGTTCAGCTTAAAAAAGACAGTAACCTTTTATGGGTGTTTTTTTACCGTTAAAGCATCTAGCTGGACACCGTCTCTTCATGTCTGCTGCAACGTCAGTGGATCATCCACAGCCTGGTCCACTGCCAGGTTATCCTAGAAGTCTTCTGGTGTCTGGCTATGGGCACAGATGTATCTCTGCAGTTTATTCGCAGACACAGGTCTGTTTTTCTCTGGACTCATCTCCAAGTAAGAGAGGCTGTCCTGTCCAGTTGGGCAACTCTCTGACAAGAATTCGCCAAGTGTCTGCATGACATCAAATAGCCTACCCCTTTTTTTCTGAGGACAGATTCCTCGTGCGTGCAGAGCTCTTGCTCTAACACGATGCAAACCCGTTCAAGGAAACTGAGAACAGAATGCGGGAGAAGCTATCGGTTTGGAGCCAGATTCATAAAAAATCCTTAGATTTCGGCAAGTTAGGAGCTACAGGGAACAGCCGCTACGCGCCTGTGTCACAGAGAAATCCAGACCTCAGAAAACCTTCCTGAGAACACTTGCGCACGGATAAGGGAATGGCCAGCATCTGGCCTGCGCCGAATGCTGGGCACTGTGGGAGGCCTGCAACGCGGCCCAGAGCCTGGCTGGCTGGTTTAGAGCCCGTCTCCTCCGGACGGGAGAGGAGAGACCCCTGCAAGCGCTGGCAGCAGAGGGGAGAGCTGCTGCTTCTCAAAGCAGGGCGAGAAGCAGTGCGCCTATTGCCTGCACTGCCAAA